ACACTTCTATCACTCACCGCACCACTATTCCCTTCCCTCGCAGGTCATGCCCCACCTCTGAGGTCACAACTCACATTGTACAACTCAGTCTTCCGCGCTCTCGATCGATCACAGTTGGACATATCAATCGCCCGTCAATCCTTTGCAACTGTATTACAATTATGCCTAGATCCACGACCCAAAGTGCGCAAGCGAGCCGCAGACTTGGTAAACGATGTATTGTCAAACCCACCAAGCCCCCTCTTGCGTCATCCCTACGCTCAGCGTGTCGCTGAATGGATGCAAACGTCTCTCCATCAGGCCGGCTCAGGCGTCATTCTAAAATCAAAAACAGCTAAAGAACCTTCATCTACTGATACGGCCATTTATCTCCTAGCGGTACTCCGTCCGATTTTACCCAATCTCCCCCTAGATGTGAGCGATATCTTCCAGTGCTCGAATAAGCCCCTGACTGGCACCAAAAGGCCATACCACCTGTTACAACTGTCCTTCTCACTCTGCCCAGACTGGGTAACCCTTACCTATCCCAATCAGCCTACTCCATCCTTTCCGAGCTTTTCACTGCCTCTGTCGGCTCAGGTACCCACAGTGCCACCGAGCAAATACCCGCAGTGCTGAGCGCCATACTGTCGTCCCCACCACTGCAGTCGGATACCGCTGTCACTCCATCCTGGCTGCGAGTTCTAGGTGACGCTATGCTTGCCTATCACTCTGCAAATCCCGAGGCGTGCACAGGGGACTTTCTCAGAGTATGGAAGTCTATCTGGTCTTTCTTCGAGACTAGTCATCCGCAAACCCGAAAAGCCGCCGCTGAAGCTCTTCAATCGCTCGCCCAATGTATCACCCTTCCCATGGTACATGCTGCAGTCAATGAATCTCCAAATGGTAAATCTTCCCTGCGGGGTATTGTTGCACAAACCACAAAAGCTTTGGATTCCCTGGCTTACGCGCAGTCCATCACGGAATTGTTTCATGTTGTATCCTCGCTCCTTTCAAACCTCAACATGCGCGTCGAGAGCGGAAAATCAACGCTTGCAGCCGAGAAATTGCTCATGCCGTTGGTACAGAAAATCGCTGATCTCAGGATCCAGAAGAATTTCGAGCACAAGGAAGCAGCGGATACTGTCATATCGACAGCAATGAAAGTCATTGGGCCTGCTGTGCTACTCCAAGCCATCCCGCTAAATCTGGAGCCACAAGATCGGTACGTGAGCTCTGCTTCTCTATTACAAATTCACTGACTCCTATTGCAGACAAGCTGGTCGTGAACCGCGGGCTTTCCTGTTGCCGATGATTGCTCAACCGCATCCCTCCCCCTTGGGTCATTTCGTCTCATACTTTGTTCCTTTGAGTGAACGAATGTTCAACCTTCAACAAAAGGCAGAGACAGAAGCCAGACAATCTGAGGCGAAAGTCTGGAGTGTACTCGTTTCCCAAGTTTGGGCAGGCTTCGCGGGATACTGTCACGCACCTGCTGATGTGAAAGATGTAAGTGTTGTCAACGTTATGTTTGTTCTTCTACACTGACTCCCCTACAGGCGCTCACGCCAGCTTTCTCGCAACTCTTATCCCAGCTTTTGTATACACAGCCTGATCTCCGACTCCCAGTCCTCAGAGGGCTCAGGGTTTTGGTGGAATCCAGTCTCGCCGTGTCCCAAGCGGATCCCGAAAAAGCTCATGAAACTTCAGTTTCAGGAGGCGTCGTCACTTACACAGAAGCAGTTCAGAACGTCATTTTCTTAAAGAATCAAGTCGAGAACTGGTTCGCTGTCTTCTTCAACGTGTTTGGCAGCGTCGACAGGGAGAGCAGGGGTATTGTCGGAGACGTCATTAGCGTCTGGGCAAACCTCGCCGATCCCCAGGAAATCTCGCAAGCTTATCGCAAAGTCATCGAACTATTCCGCCAGAACCTTCAAAAGCTCACTGCCACGCCAGATACATATCAGAACGCAAGCGTGACCACGATGACGCAAGATCTCCTCATGTTGCTTTTACCTTTCTTAGACGCCCCCGATGTGTCGTCGCTCTTCCAGATCTGCATAACCGAAGAAGTATTGTGCTGCAAGGATAATGGCGTGCAGAAGCGAGGCTACAAGGTCCTCAGTAAACTATTGAGCAGCGGGAAAGTGCAAACCGATACACTGGTCACCTTCCAGCAACTCGAGGGTTTCACGACCGGACTTTCGCCTGCTGCCAAAAAAGATCGACTTGTGCTACTAGCACACCTTATTCCAGGGATACCATCGACGTCTTTGCATGTCATCCCATCGTTGATTCCCGAGGCTGTACTTGGGACAAAAGAGCCCTCCGAAAAAGCACGATCTGCCGCCTTTGAATTAATCGTGGTCATGGGCCGAAAGATGAGCGAGGGAGGTGTAGTGAAGAGGCAAATGGTTGAAGGTATGGATGAAGATGGTATTGACGAAGGTTCGTGCTTTTCGCGCCGGAATTCCGTCGTGCTGATGTCAGTCATTCAGCAAATGCAAACATCGATGAGTACATGACCATGGTCGCCGGTGGACTTGCTGGGGCAACACCCCACATGATTAGTGCCACTATCACTGCGATCTCGCGACTCGTCTTCGAATTTAAAGGTCGGTTACGCGACTCACTTCCCCTCTATAACTGTTGACCATCTTGCGCAGATGCCATCGGTTCGCAGATGCAGACTGAGGTCTTCACGACTCTCCTTGTCTTCTTGTCTTCTTCCAATCGTGAGATTGTCAAGTCCACACTTGGTTACATCAAGCTCGCAATCCATACGCTCCCCGCTGACCTTCTGAGACTACATCTGTGCGGTTTGGTTCCTGCACTTTTGGCATGGTCCCACGACCACAAGAACCACTTCAAGGCAAAAGTGCGCCACATTTTCGAGCGGATGATCAGACGCTTCGGATGGAACGACGTATATCAAGCTGCGGGTGAAGACCAGGCCTCTAAGGTCCTTATCAATATCAAGAAACGGAAAGAAAGGGCCAAGCGGAGAAAGGCTCGCGAAGGAGAGGCCGACGATGAGGTCGAGGTAAGCACGAGTCTGGACGTACCTAACCACTCGCTGATCAGCTTGTCAGGCATCCTCTGGCAAGGTGGCAATAGGCGATGCATTTGAAGATGTTCTTTATGGTAGCGAGAGCGAACTCGACGACAGTGACGATGAAGAGCAAATTGCACGTGGTGGTGGTTCTAAGCGCAAGGGCGGGGGCCATGGTGTTCGGCTGCGGGTTGATGACGACGAGCCAATGGATCTTCTGCAAGGGGCGGCTTCACGAATCACGAGTGCGTGTCCCATATACTGTTGTTGGGTTTCGCTGACACACACACAAAACAGATGCAGCAGCTAACCGCAGGCGGAAACCCGGTCAAGATGCCAACCATTTCAAAAGCGAAGCAGAAACCGGAAAACTGGTCATTCCTGCCGAAGATTCAGATTCGGACATTGAGGTCAGCGCGCGCAAAACTACAAAAGACGTCGCGGGGAGTGCTTATAGAGAAAGTCTCACCTCCGTGGATGGCTTTGCGCGTGGGCCTAATGGACGCATAAAATTCAACAAGGATACGAAGAAGCGCCGACGAGAGAACGAAGACGATGGCGGAGACATCGAAATGGCTGACGCCGAAACACTGACCGAGGCCAAAAAGAACAAACGACGATCCGAAGTCAAGCTCGGTCACGAGTTCAAGGCAAAGGTATGCGTTTTGCATGACTATCCCCACATTTAGTTGTTCACCAGCGATACTGGTTTGCAGAAATCGGGCGGTGATGTCAAGAAAGGAGGACTTGACCCCTATGCCTATCTGCCTCTATCTCAAGCTGCAAAGAAAAAAGGTCGCAATCAGATTGGGATTGCTAGGAAACGGTGATACTGATGTATCTAGAACGAATCTTACATTGTGTTACAACTGATACAATTGTTAACCAAACAATGTCTGATCATGGGGTGTACCAAAAAGCCCATGACCCCATGACGTGGGTTGTATCCAGTTGGGTATTGATACCTTACTCCCGAGTGCCTTCGCTACCATCATCGCCAACATTTGCGCGTCTGATCTATTATCCCCCTCCATAACATATTGCAACAAGCACACAGTTGGTATCTGCCATGAGTCCGGGACAGAAGATAATATTCTGCGGGAGAGACCACCGCCAGGAATAAACGGCACACGCGACAAGTTGCTCTCGGCATGAAGGACTTGAGGCACTGGTGAGAAATAAGGAGGTACCGGTAAATGGGTCAGGGGGGCAAGTGCGCCTTCCGCTAGGGGTGGTGATACTGAAGGACAGATGTAGGTCGTTGAGGTGCTGCGGGGAGAAGTCAGCCACCGGTCCCTCAGGAGGATACTTGCGCACCTACAGCATTTGTGCATCTGTTCTGTCGGACATGTCGACTCCTCCCATGAAGATCACCGCAGATACACCTGAATTGCGAATAAATTCCAGCAGGTCATTGGTGAAGTCTTGCTTGAAAGACTGATGGAAAAAATGACTAGTGATAAACAATGTTAGATGGAAATGGCTTGACCTACTTTGAGCACAGGGGAACGTTGTTGGATAATCGCGATGTTGCTGCGATCCTTTCCAAACACTGAATATCGAGGGATTCGTCAGGGAAAGCGGGCGGGCTCAACAAGGGGCCACATACATTCAATAGGTGTAGTTACACCAGCAGCGCCATCCTCCCGTCCACCGACGACTGGCACTACATATTTTGGATCGAATACACCAACGCGATCAAGTTTGAGCGACGCGATGAATAGATCAGCTGCTAATTGTGCAACATTTGCGACAGATACGATAGGCTGTGTGCAATCATGAGGTCCTTGTAAGAGACATGCACGCTATTTCATGTCACTCACCACGATGAGCACCTTTCCCGAGAGCTTATATGTGGTGAGGGGTCGATAGAAGGCCATGCTGCAGAATGTGGCTCGACTCTTCTGTAGTAAGATTACTTGCGAGTAGACTTGCTATATAGATGGCAATTGTTGGTGACTATTAACAATCTCTGGTAGTATATCGGATAGTACACCCGCCTGTCATGGTTCTTCGCAACCACGGTGACGCGGGAGAGCGGGGTTCGACTCCCCGCCAGAGAGGCTTTTTGTTCGTCGCATATGCGATGCAGTAGTCGATATGATTGTCTCGTATTTTATTAATGCGTTGCGAAAGCTTCTGTCACGTCTTGAATCCAGTGGGATTCTGCAGGATTCGCGTTCACTTTCCGGGGTTTGCACAAGACTTGGTACCTACTAGGTCATGACGGGGGTTCTTACGCCGCTCGAGCTGAAGCGCTGAAGGTTCAGGTTAGTCGCGAGCAAAGTCATGGAGGAGCCTCGAAGAGGGAGACCCACACGCGGTAACGTCAACTTCTCCTAAGCGGTGGACCAGATGAGGCAATGGAAGATGATGTTGGTTGCTGAAGCGAACTTGAGATCAATCTCGATGTCTAGGCATATCGCTAATCGTGACTCCAGCACGGACTGTTATCATAACGATCACTGTCGGCAATAACCTGAGGAAATCGTCTTATCGGCATGCCGAGGTCCAGTACCAGTTGGCACTCGGGGTCATGGATTACCCCATGAAGTGTGAACTGCAATGCAAGCCTGGTAGTTCACGACTCTGCAGGTTGATCAGTCATCGTCGTGTGGACTGTTTAGGATTGAATATTGAATATTGTCATGATACAAAGTCGCCGTCAACCGTGCAGCACGTCGATATAAACGACGACAGCAAGTACACTAGGTCCATGCGATCCAAAATACTGTAACATGCGGCAACTTCCTGAACTCCTGCAACGCGTATCCGCATGCCGGAAGATACAAGTGATAGCCCTCCTGCCCTTACCACCAACAGCAGTTTCATGTAATTATTGTCCTCGACGACTCGGAGGGGAGGCGTCGGTGATTGTGAGAAAAAAGACAGTCGTGGTCTCGAGTACAGTATCCTAGAATGTGGTATCATCATCAGCCTGGCCTACTGTTGCTATCATGTGCGGTTTTCACTGCTTCAGCTTCTCCACCATCTCAGGCACGACCTCGAAGAGGTCTGCTACCAGTCCAACGTCGGCCACTTGGAAAATTGGAGCGTCGGGGTCCTGAAGAACGTCAGAAAGTAGTGAATCAAGGAATAGAGTGTGCTAATACCTTGTTGACAGCGACGATAAGCTTCGAGTCCTTCATGCCAGCAAGATGTTGAATTGCGCCTGATATTCCAAGTGCCATGTATAGCTCTGGAGCAACGACTTTTCCTGTTTGTCCCACTTGCAATGAGTTATCTGCGTAACCGGCGTCAACTGCTGCCCGTGAAGCGCCAACCGCAGCCCCCAGAGCATCAGCAAGTGGATAGAGAGTGGCCTGAAAGGTCTCGGCGTTCTTGAGCGCTCGTCCACCAGATACGACGCGGCTGGCAACACCCAAATCAGGTCGGTCAGATTTGGTTAGCAAGGTGTTGATGTGTTCTGAGGGTGGATCAGAAACTTGGACGGGATCAAGGGTCTTTACTTCAACTTCTATATCGGCTGATATAGCAGCAGAGAAAGCAGTCGATCGGACAGTGAAGAATTTGATAGGTATGGAAGACGGAGCTCGAATGGTTGAGATGGCATTGCCTGCGTAGATGGGGCGGGTGAATGTTGTACTGTTGCAGGAAACATCGTGTTCGACTGAGGTGATGTCGGACACGGCCGGAACATTAAGTTTAGCGGCGACTCGAGGGAGAATAGATTTGGCAGATGAAGAGTGTGCGGAAACAACGTGGGTGAATGGAGAACTGTGTGATAACAAGTTCTCCAGAAGTGGGGTGACAGTTTCAGGCAACGGCATGGTGTACTGTGTGGATGCAGCATGTAGTAAAGTATCGAGACCCTTTACCCTATTGTGACGCGAATTAGCAGGTATGGAGATGGATACAAGGATAGACATGCATCTTTGCCTTGTCTAAAAGACTTTGGACTTGGTCGGGGCTTGCTACAATGAGACCTGTGACTTTTCCGCCGAGCTGGGTGGCGGCTGTGACCGCAGAGAGAGAGCCAGAGTCGAGTTCACCATGCTGGTGCTCCAAGAAGACAAGAGCATGAGGTGATGGAATTGTCGCATAGCTTCTGATAAGCGCTCTGCTCAACGTTGAAGATCTGACACGAAACATCATTTGCGGATTGATTATTTGTGAGGAGGAGATGACTGGAATCTTTCAGTACGGAGGATTTCAACTCCGCGCGTTTTCTTGACGGTCCTTTGCAGGTTGTGTCTACACTGTCAAAATCAAAATATTCACTGTCTACTGGAGTAAGTTTCTAGGGTGGAGAAAGATCGGTGGACTCCCTGCAAAGAATAGTCTGACTTTGTTCTAGAAGAGGGACACCCACACCAAGTTAATGGTATTATTACACCCAAGTTCGCCGCAGCAACCTCACTTTCAAATTCATCACTTGCTACTACACGATCTATCTCATTCTCCTAACTTGTCAGGGTATTATCTGCCAATCCAGGATCAATACCATGCTCTATCCTTTGTAGGTCCATTCTAACCTTGGGAGGCGCTTATTACTAGTCACTTAAAGCCCAGCCCCCAAGTTCATGAACGCTTTCTCGTTTTACCCACCGTGAAACAACAATGTCTCGTCCTCCTTGTCGATATATCAAATCACCAGGTGGTTGTCGTCGCGGTGACGATTGTCACTTCGCACACCCATCCACACCAAACAATGCCAATACTACTCACTCACTTTCTTCTAGCACACCGCCGGGCAGATCATCTCGCCGCAATGCCCAACGCCAAAACCCATCAGGGCCCCCTGTCCCAAAGGGGGTCTGCACCTTTTTCTGGGACCAGGGTCGTTGCAACAAGGAATTTGAATGTCGCTACCAGCATACTCGCAAGACTGAAGGATCTTCTGGGCGCCCTGGTGCTTCCTCTACATCCACGATTACCCCGTCCCAGGCCGTTCTACGCCGGTTGGCACCTTTCTTGACCGAAGAAGGGTTGTCAAAGTTGAACGGAAGCGGAACTGACGGATTTTTCTCTCAAGATTCTTCCGCTTTGTTATCGCCCTCGGAAGCTCACAATGCACTCAAGAAGTTCCTACAGGACAACTTTCGATTCAGGACAACTTTTGAAATTTATGGTTTCTTGAAACCATTGAACAGTGCCAACGCTTCGAACACGAATTGGGTATGTTATGTCATCATTATCGCAACCACGTTATTGAAGATCCTCGACAGACTCAGGAAGATGGCCAAGTGCGTCCCTTGTCCTCCCTTTGATGACACCTGATGTCCACTAATGCTCCGTGAGCAGCTCCTTCTAAACACCATGTCTTCAGTGCGTGATTGCCGGCTTGGAAAGCCTAGCTCATCTTAACCATCCACTACAGCAAAATGGCCTACTCCGCCTGATTGACATTTTGCGCTGGCCCCAAGTATCTGCGCATGCCGGTTCGTCCCGCGAGGTTCTGTCATTCCAGCGAGGTATATTACCGTTACTTCGAGTGCGTCGATCCTTCCTTCCTTCCTTGTCGGCGAATCCGTTGAGTGTATCCGTTTCAGTACTTGTCGTCAGACTTCGTCATCAAGAGCACACTGGTGACTCGAACAAAGTGAGATGACGTGATTCGCATCCTATGCTTCTTTTCTCAATATACTATCCACGATGCAGCACCATAATTACAGAAATACTGCAGAATCTCTCCCATCTTGCCGATGTGATCGAGGCCAGCATGGGACTCATCATGACTGCTCGCTCCTTCAAAGATCCTGGAGGTGGCCCACAAGATCAACAGATAGGTGCTCAAGTTTTGGCTTCCACAGCTGGTGTTCTTCACGAGTAAGCCAGGATCCGAGTCTCGTTGAGAGCTGCAGTATAAAACTAATTGACTTCTCAGATGCCTTGTGCGCTTCAAAAACGCAGTTGCAATGTATCCAAGGTTGGTCACTTTGGTCACGAACCTTCGCCTGTGGTTCGACCAATGGAATGCAGGCATTTCTTCATCGCCACCTGCCTTCGACAACCCATTCCAAAATGTTGAGCCAGCAGTCCGTGACCTGCTACTCGGCGCAATCAGAGCAAAGGTTGAAACCCTCGGATCAATTATAGAACGGGAACTGGGAAAGGAAACGCGTTCTGATTCTCATAGGAACGCGCACACACGCACCCAGAATGAGGGAGTCATTGCAGCCCTACACAGCAGCTACGATCCTCCTGGAGACCTACGAGCAGAAGGTCCACGACATGACAACGACTTCTTGGACATAACCAACATTCGCGTCGCTCCTACCCACGAAGAGTTGATGTGTCGAACCCCACCATTTCTCCCAGCCAGCCTCTTCCATGCCCCACACCATGCTCCCCCGGAGTCTATGCAACGACTTTTGGACATTCAGTTTCGTCTCTTGAGGGAAGAGCTCACGTAAGCGATCACACTTACAGCCGTGTAGTGCGACTACTCAACAGGTCTCAGGGCGCCCTTGCGAAGAGCTGTACAGCTCGTTCACGATGACATCAAGGCTCAAAAGCGGGACAAAACAAAGCTAGGAGAAATCCTCCAGAAAGGCGGAGGGAGGTATCATGGCCTGGCGGACAGTCAAGAATCTATCATGTTCAATGTCTACCCTGACGTCGCGTTCAGTTCTCTAATTCCTGATGGTCGCGGATTGTCGACGAGCCTCACTGTGCGGACCCCTCCGGGTCGCGCTAGCTCTCAACAAGCTGGAGCACGAGTGGCATTTTGGGAGGGGATGAGCAGTAAAAGACTCGCGCAAGGAGGGCTCGTTGCTCTTGTCTGGGACACGGGCTCCGACGTCTCTGTCCATCTCGGGGTGGTGGCGAGCTCGCTCAAGGACCTCACTAACTACGTTCGGGTGGACAGAAATCGCGTCAAGATTCGAGTTGTGTTCTTTGATAGCAAAGTAGAACTGCGCATCGTTGCCGAACTGAGGAATCGACGTTCCTCGTTTGGAGGTGCCAAGGTGCTTGTCGAATCTCCCGTGATGCTCGAGGCCATTCGGCCTTTCTTAGAAGCCCTTAAAAGAGAACCGGAGATCGTACCTTTCTCCCGTTATCTCGTATTCCGACCACCCGGTTACCTGAACACCTGCAC